GCGAGAGCGCAAGCTCCGTACAGAGCATCGAGGGTGAGGAGCCACCACACTCTCGGGAATTGAGTCTTGAGTCCCATTCCTGCCTCTTGCCAACCATGTGTCCTGGGCAGGGGATTTCTCGAGCTGAGCCTGCTTCCTTACAAACTGAGGAGAGTAAAATTACAAACCTATAGGTTATTGTGAAGATTCAACAAGTTAATATAATACTAAAACTTAATGAGCGTACACTATGTGTCAGGTTGGGTTCTAAACTCTTTATATGTATTTGCTCATTTAATCTTCATCACAACTCATAGTTTGCTGCTAAGGGAATGGAGGCTCAGGATGGTTAAACAAACCCCAGGGACAAAATTGAGAGGACAGTGTAGATTTTGAGCCCAGGTAGCCTGGCTCTGGCACCCCACTCTTAACCACTGTGCTCTTTGACCTCAATTTTGGCAGAATCCAGTGCTTAGCACATAGAAGCTCCAAAAATGTCCACCCCTCCCTTGCTGTCTGTAACCTTCCTTCCTCATCCACCCTGTCTGGCCCTCAAGAGTGGGTTCTAGAAGCAGGGTTCTGTTATTTCTCAGATACCAAAAGTTGACCCAACTCGATTGCTCTATCTTGAGTTGTTTTACTTCTCTGTTTTGTTGTTGGTTTTGGTTTTTATTGCTTATTCTTTGATCAAAAGCAAGACTGAATTGCCTACCAAGGCAAATCTGATTCTGTGCTCCTGAGCACCAAGGTAGCCTCAGTGCTCAGCTTAGCTCCTAATCCCAACCAGTGAAGGAGCATGGTTTCTTGGCTTCTAATCGCTCACATGCATGGCTAAAGCCCCAGCCCCACACCGGCTTCCTGGATACAGCTGACCAATTTTGGGGAAAAATACACCTTCTTGTTTGTGGGTTTCTGGCCACACTTGTTCAATTTCCTGGTTACTATAGAGACCTTGTCAACACATCCAAATACTCTTCTTAGCAAAGAAATTTGTCTTCTCCCGTCTCTGTATAGCCCCAAAGAACACAGGGTCTTAGGAAGAAGCAGGAAAGGCTTAGCCTCTGGGCCTTCTGAGCCCACCCCAGGCTCTGGTTCCCTTTTAGCTGGTTTCACACTTTGAGCCTACAGAGGATAAAATGAGGGAATGAACAAGGAGCACTGTTTGAGTGGGACTAAGCTTCAGGGCAAATAAAGGGAAGTGAATCAGAATAACGGAGAATCTGGGCAGAGTATTTAAACATTCAAATTTCTTTCTTTTTCCAGTGACCTAAGGACAGGCAATCTGCCCTGGGAATCTGGATCCCTTACTCTTAATATTATGACTGGAAGGGCAAGGTCAGCGCTCCCAGTGGACTGTATACTAAGGTTGGGTCTCAGGTCTGCTCCTGACTGCCGAGGCCAGCAGCTACAGTGCATTTATACAAATGGTTAGCGGAGCTCCCAAGCTGCCTCCCGTCTTTCCATCTCTGCTTATTGAAAGCTTACCCGTGCTTTATGACCCCGCTCCGACGCCACCACCTCCAGAAAGACTTAGAATCGATCTCCTCTTTCGCCCTTGTACCTCTCGTTATAATCTCATCTCTCATCACCTCCTGCCCGACGTCATGGTTGCTTGTATGTCTGCCTTTATTCCAGAGATTCTCATCAAGCTGTAATTATGGGGCAGGCCCAGAGCTAGTCACTGGCAATGAGAAAGATCCAATCCCCATCCTTATTTCAGGGGCTCCCATATGCTCAACAGCCTGGCAGAGACGGACAAGTCCACACATAATTAAAGCAGATGGAGAGGGATGTGCTGAGAACCTGGGGCATCTCTGCCTGCAGATGGGGAAGGGGTGATCCAGGAAGCCTTCCCAGAAGTGATGATGCCTGGCTTACATCTTAAAAGATGAGTTTCACAGAACAGCATAGGGGACAGGAGAGAAGGGACAATTCACAAAGGCGGAACAGCATGTGCAAAGCCAGGAAAGTGTGAGGTCTTCAGGGAAGGAGCCCCAAGGAGCCCAGATGGCCAGTGTCAGGGGCATCCTGAGGTGGAGGGGCAGGAGGTGGGATTGGGCAGGCAGGGACTGTCAGACAGCAGAGGACCTACTATGCACAGCTTAGCAGCTTGGGCTTTCTCCTGCCAGCCGTGGGGAGCCATGGAAAAGTTTTCAGGAGGCAAGAGACCTGACAGGGTTTGTCTTTTAAAAAGACAACTGGGGCTGCTGAGTGAAGAATGGGTGGTTGCGAGGCAAAAGGTGAAGCAGGGAGACCAGCTAGTAGATGGTGGCCTTCATCCAGGTGAGGGACCATGGTGTGGACCGAGTGATAGCAGTGGAGGTAGAAGTAGGAGGATTTGAGATCTGTTTAGGAGGCAGAATTGGCAGGACCTTGTTGTTGACGGGATGGGAGAGAGAAAGGGTGAGTCGGAGATGACTCTCAGAATTGCAGCATCATTGGCCAGGGTGGATGATCAGATCTGAGGAGGAAAGTGGCACTTTTGGCTTAGGAAATGGTGATCTAAGGAGCCTGAGGGATACCTCAAGGTGCATCTAGATGCCGTTCCCTCCTCTTTCCCCTGCTCCCTAGGCCAGCCCTTGCTGTGGCTTTTCCTCCAACCTGTTGTCTAGGCCCACACTAAGGTGGTAGCTTGGAGTTAGATCACCAGATTTGGAAAAAGTCACCAGACGAATGTACTCCTACTGCAGATATTTGAGTTGGACTCCGTGTGCCCTGCCTCCCTGGGGTTTTCAAACTTCC